GCTTCGAATCTGGAGTCTTAGTCGGCCCTAAGGTGTCATGTACCAAAAGGAGCTCCGTAACCGACGTTTCAATGCGGAGACTTTAATCAGCCCTAAGGTGTCATGCACCAAAAGGGGGCTCCGAATCCGGAGACTTAGTTTGGCCAATCGTGATATCCACCAAGGGCGCTCCGAATCCGGAGTCTTAGTTTGGCCAACCGTGATATCCACGAAGGGCGCTTCGAATCCGGAGTCTTAGTCGGCCCTAAGGTATCATGCACCAAAAGGGGGCTCCGAATCCAGAGACTTAGTTTGGCCAATTGTGATATCCACGAAGGGTGCTCTGAATTCGGAGTCTTAGTTTGGCCAATCGTGATATCCACAAAGGGCGCTCCGAATTCGGAGTCTTAGTCGGCCCGAAGGTGTCATGCACCAAAGGGGGCTTCGAATCCGGAGACTTTAATCGGCCCTAAGGTGTCATGCACCAGATGGGGCTCCGAATTCGGAGACTTAATCGGCCTTAATAGGCTTGGGAGCGGGCTGGCGAAAGCAAGAAACTTTGTATTGCAAAGGTGGAACATGTACAAGTATCAAGCCCACAAGTCGGGTCAATGATAGAAGAGGCTTAATCGGCCCTAAGGTGTCATGCACCAAAGGGGGGCTTTGAGAAATGAATTGAGTGACGAAGAAGAATGGTTTGCATTGCAGAAGTGATATATATACAAGTATCAATGCCCACAGGTCGGGTTTTCATAAAATCTCTACTTGTGCCGATTGCGGGGAGCCACGGATTTCTTCAATGCCATGGGCTGTCGGGAAGTGCACAAGCTGATGATAAGTGCTTGGAACGATTTGCGCCGGAGACAGATCTGACTCGTTGAAGCCGAGTAAGTACTCCCTAGGTCTATGAGAATGCGTTCAATGGTGAACCGATTTGCGCGTAATTTGATCACCAACGAATCGATGTGGGAGGTTGTTGTGCCGCTACAATCGGAGTCATTGAAAGTAATTGTCGGAGCTTCTCTAGGCCATTCGGTCGGAATACGTTGCTTTTGGGGGATTGGATGTGATTGAATTGTGTGCACGGTTGGGGATGCAGGCAGGCTGTAGATTATATGGATCACGCCAAGTGGAGGTGAGTCCTGCCTCAAGGCTAATGCCTTGATTGGGTTTCCCTTTCTCACGTACTGTTGCAGTCGGCCGTCTTGCACCAGTTCTTCCAGGTGATCCTTTAATGCGTAACAACTCTCGGTTACGTAGCCGTGATCTTTGTGATACTCGCACCGCCTATCCCTTCTTCGCATGTCGGGTGGCCCTACCATCTTTGATGCCCATTTGAAGAATGGAAGGTGTTGGACTTTGGTCATTATTGCAGTGATTGGTTCTGACAACTTTAGCCCTGTTTGGTAGAGCTGTGGGAAAGTGCTTATAGCTTATGCCTAAACAGCTTATAGCTTATAACTATGAACATAAGCTGATTTCTGACTTATTCCTAAAGCATCTCCTGCCCCATTCAAAGAATAAGGTGATTTCTGACTTCCAAAAAGCTATAAGCTATAAGCTATAAGCTAAACCAAACACATCAAAATAGCTTAAATTAAGCTGAAAGCTGAAATAAGCTGATTATAATTTCTGCCAAACAGGCACTTTGTGTACTTCTTGTCAGCACGTCTTGAGCGCCTGCTGTCGACTTGCGGTTGTTCATTCGTCCGGTGGGAGCATTGATCGCTTGATCGGCGAGAGTCCTGCCTTTTGTCTCGTTTAGCGCATTGCCGTGGCTCAGGGCTTGGAGGTGGCACGAAACTTATCGGTTGAGCAATTTCAAGGGGGGTTGTTTTGTTGGACATTTGTCCGGCTTTTATTCTCAAGGCATTATCTTTCACTTTGCAATACTCTTCAACTTTCTTCATCAACGCCCAGACTGTTTGGGGGGGTCTTCTGGTCAGGGAACTGCGAAGAGCACTGTCGGGATGTAGTCCCATTTTGAAGGCGGTGATGGCCATGGAGTCGTTGCAAGCGTCGTCGACGAGGTTGAAGCACTCCCAATACCGCGCCGAATATGCTCTGAGCGTTTCTCTTGACTGAATTTGCATAGCCCAGAGAGAGTTGGCCTGTTTCGGTTGCACCTCGTTGGTGATGAACCTGGCCCTAAAGGATTTCTGTAATTGATGGAAGCTTTTGATCGAGGCCGACTCCAACTTGTAATACCACCTGACAGCTAATGGCCCCAGGCTGCTGGGGAATATTCGGCACATGAGGGCTTCGTTGTCTGCATGCAATGTCATGGCCTGCTTGTAGTGACGGATATGGTCAGTGGGGTCTGATTTTCCGTCGTAAAGAGTGAACGACGGAGCTTTGAACTTCTTGGGTAGGGCCGCCCTTGCAATCCGTCGGACAAAAGGATCGTGCTGGTCCTCTTCGTCTGAACTGCTTCTTCTGCGCTTGTTCCTTGTATGTAGACTCTTTTCGGAGGAGTTGGAAGTTTCGGATCGTCCCTTGTTGAGCTCCGTGGGTAATGAGTTGGGGTCGCTATTGGTATCATTTGGTCGGGCTCGAGGTCGATGTCCACCTGCCCTCGGAGGTCGTTCGAGATCTTGGCGCACGGCTTCTCTGGATTTTGCTACTTCTAGGGCCAAATCTTGACGGAGACGTTCATTTTCAGCGATCATGTTCTCCAGCCTTTGTTCATTCTGCTTTGCTTGTTCCATGATCGCTTGCATTATCTCTTGCGCTGAAGTCGTTGGTGAGTCAAAGTTCAAGGCACGTCTTGCAGCAATGGTTTCCTTTCTGAGCATATTTGCTGGAGTGAGGTCATCCCTCTGTGTGGTCTCGTCACTGGTTATCGGAGGATCTTCAGTCACGCCTGCCATGGATGTATTTAAGTATTCCCACAGACGACGCCAATTGTGGAGAAGTGGTTTGGAAATACTCTTCAGATCCTAGGAGACACTAGTGATCCTCAGCTAGTCACCTAAAAAGATATAAACACTCCGGTCGGGGGTGCCGGAATTAGGGCCTAATATACATGTGTGTTTTGATTGTGGTTATTTTAAAACTTTTCAAAAATCAAGTAGAGGAAGTGTAACTTTGGAGAATGGATCAATCGCACCATACTTGGCATTGGAAATATAGATTTGAAGATGACTTCTAGAAATATCTTAACTTTGAAAGATGTGCGATATGCGGATTTGTTCTTCCCAGTGGGTCACCCATCCTAGAACTACTCCAGCCTAAGCACGCTTAACTGGGGAGTTCTAATAGGGATTTCACCACTTGGGAAAAGGCCTCGATGCTATATAAGGATCCAAGTTTTTACTTTTATAGCCCAGGAACTCCCCCTCCATTCCCGATGTGGGACACCGGGGCCTTACAATCCACCCTCCATAAGGCTGCACGTCCCCGTGCAGTATCCTGCCAGCTAGCAAGCCCGCCCACATGCACCGAGAGACGCCAGGGGCCCACACTCGGTACTCCGGAGAGTCGGCTCTGATACCATTTGTAACGCCCCGACCCTTTACACGTCATCGATATTGTCCGCTTTGGTCCACACCCGCACGGATTTGTTCTTCCCAGTGGGTCACCCATCCTAGAACTACTCCAGCCTAAGCACGCTTAACTGGGGAGTTCTAATAGGGATTTCACCACTTGGGAAAAGGCCTCGATGCTATATAAGGATCCAAGTTTTTACTTTTATAGCCCAGGAACTCCCCCTCCATTCCCGATGTGGGACACCGGGGCCTTACATCTTCTAAGTTAAGCAAAAAGTGATTGTTACATACCTTTCTCAATCCATTGTATTTGTACCTGTTTCTTTTGATTCTCGGGGCCAGGGCCTACTTTTTAATCATTGTCCTTTCTCTTATTCGGTTCTAAGGATCTACACTTATTCGGCACATGTATTATATTCGACTTCCCATTCTCGTAAGATGCAGCCGATTAATATCAGTCTTCTAAGGTACGCACCTTCTGATTTTGTCATTATTCGGCTCCCACAATTTTAAAACAACAACAATAATAATAAAACAGAAAAATGAGAAAAATTGAGATGAAGTATTATTGGGTAAGTGTTAAAGGGTATTTTCGTTTAAAAAATATCAAGAGTTTGGTTTAATTCACGGTGCAGTAAGGGGTCAAAGTGAAACAACCAATAGTTTAGGGGGTTGATATATACGATTATGTAGTTTAGGGGTCATAGTGATACTTTTCAATAGTTTAGGAGGTTGATTTATACGTTTTTATATTTTAGAGGATCAAAATGATACTGCTCAATAGTTTAGGGGGTCTCTGTGTGAATAATTCTTTATTGGTCAGGCTAAATTGCAATTCATTTTTCATCTGTTCATTTGATCAAAAACAGCTCTTAGCTATTTTGGGGAAACTTTAGGTTGACCACTGTCATCCCTTCTTTTGTGCTACTGAAGCTGTTTCTAGTTTTATCTAATTTATCCCATACAGCTATATTTTAAACTTTCTCCTTTTTAGCCTTTATCGAAAAATTTGTTGAAAAATCATTTCATACAAAAATTTATATAGAATTCATAATTAAAATGACTTTGTTGGTTTGGGTTCGAGTTTTATTGCTGCTGCTGCTAAAAAAAAAAAAAAAAAAAAAAAAAAAAAAAAAAAAAAAAAAAAAAAAAAAAAAAACACAAGAAAAGATAGAATATAAAACAAACAAATCTACACTTGTCATGTCATTTGTATTGATTTTTTGTACACTCTGTCCATTTGTCTGTTTGTATTGATTCTGGATTATATAGTTCACATATTTTTAGCTTTCATAATTCCTTGCTTCCCGCTTGTCTGTTAAATGCTTGTCTTATGTATTGGTTTGCTTGCTCTAGCTATTATGGACTTGAATTTGATTTGTGTTTTCAAATTGATGCTTTCGTTTTTCCACAGAACTCCTACCAGTTAAATTCTTTGTGGCTAATTTGTGTTCTCTTATCTAATTCTTGCTTGATGCATTGAGGCCACCCCCCCCCCCCCCCCCCCAACAAAAAAAAATTTGAAAACAAAAGAACTGCTCCTGCTTCAGTGGTGGGGTGGCCTCCGATTCGTTCGTTTAGGAAGAATCTTGCCAGTAGCTGCTCATCCAAACCAACTTCAGAGTCTCAGAATTTGGTCCCAATTGAGGTTCCCAATCACAAGCTGGTTGAAAGTTGCAGAAAAGATTTCTTTGTGAAGATCAATATGGATGGAGTTCCCATAGGAAGGAAAGTTGATCTTAAAGCCTATGACAGCTATGAAAAACTCTCCTCTGCTGTTGATGATCTCTTTAGAGGCCTTCTTGCAGGTTATTTACACAACTAATCTGATAATTCTGCTCACATAGTTGGGTTTATTTAGACAGATTTTCCATATACAGACATGCATAGAGCAAGGTAATTAGTGTTGCAAATTTGATGTCTAACATGGTCAACTAAAGCCAGATTTGATAACTCAACAAAAATTTCTTTCAGTTAATAAATTTATTTTAAAAATTCCTGTTTACAACATGTAATTGATGGTTACATAATGATGTAATTCCTGTTTGGGAATTTTATATTTGCACTCAAGCTTCCAATGCCAAATTGCTAACTTGGTACTCTTATCAATCAGGGAAATTAAAATTAGACAGTTTGACTATATGATCAATCTGTTTATACAATATGGTTTTGAACAGCATCCGCGGCTGTACTTCACAAAATTTAAGCTATGTTTGTCCTTGTGAGAGAGTGAGAGACATTATTTATTTATTTATTTATTTTTAATCTTTTGCCAACACATAATTTGCAATCTAGTCCTATGCACGGCAATAAAACACGCAGCAGAGTATGTATATGTATTTATGTCATTATGCTTGTCTTTGTTTAGCTCAAAGAGATTCCTCGCCTGGTGGAATCGAGAACAAGCAAGAGGCAGAGAAAGCAATTACGGGTTTATTAGATGGAAGCGGGGAATATACGCTTGTTTATGAGGATAATGAAGGAGACAGGATACTTGTTGGGGATGTCCCATGGCAGTAAGCATCTTGTAACTGTAGATCTGATGCAATTTAATTTATTCAATATGCCATTTCGTATTCCAACACTTGGGTCACTCAACCCTTAAAAAAAATAATCACCAAGAGTAGGATTATATTTTATTTCGTTTTTCCCAAATAAATGTACTTAAGATTCCTAACCTCTTGCTAATTATTCCTTTTTGTTTTTTAAATGATGCCATATTTGGATTGCTTGTATTACTCTTTAATTTGGCGTCTTGACATGCCATTTGCAGCATGTTTGTATCTACCGTGAAAAGGCTTCGCGTGTTGAAAAGCTCTGAGCTCTCAACATTGTGCCGTGAGTTTTCCCACTTTAATCGCATTATAAGCTGTATTTTAATTTTGATACTCGCATTAAATTTTGCTTTCTCGAAGTTTCTAACTTCTGGGAATTTGGGGCTTTGTGCTTTGCAGTCGGTAGTAAGAAAGAAATGATCCAGGTTGATGTTGGGTCGAAGTGAAGACAAGTAAAATTTCTTTAAAGAATTTTCGCCAAGTTTTGGAGACCTGATTTGTGCTCTCGACATTTTGGATTGTATTTTCTATGGCTAATGACAAAAAGAGAGCATTGTAGTTGAAATGGACTTGTTTTTCTTGAAATGATATCCATATGCTTTTCATAGTTTTGCCCTCTATTTTTTTGTGATGTGTACTTCTGCTCAAGTGAAAAGACGTCATAATCTATCCCAAGGTACATTTGGTGTATTTAAAGTTCAAACCAAAGGCAATTGACAAATAGAGATACATACATCTCTACCACTTTCATATACATAAATAAGCAAGAACATCAGTGAATCCAAAATATAAGCAAGTACTAACGAATCAAACAAACATAAATTGTTTGACAATTTAAGAACATTAATTTTGTCGAACAATAAATGAAAAGAAATCCCAATTGAAATAATTTATTTCTTGAAACAGAGCAATTTAAATAAAAGCAACTTGGGTCTCTTCTGATCTGACAAAGAGTAGTTCATGGTTCTTCTGGTGCATCATCAAATGTCAAGCCACAACTGCCAAGCTTCTGCTCCGTGATATGGTTCATCCGCCGTATCATTTGATCAGTCAAATGATTCTTCCAATCTCCGACCTTTCCTCTCCTGAAATAAGTATTGTTTTCAATCGCCACAGGCGTGTCGGCTCGATGTCTCCCCTTCTTATTCACCTCCAAATTGCTCAGATTCTCAAAACTACACAACTGCAAAACTTGCTCCATCACCCCTTTGCTCTCCTCAGAGGAACTAAAAGGGTGACCCATGAACTCTGCCAATCTCTTCACACAAACAGAGGCCTCTCTTTTCATATCCTCATATTTCAAGAACAGTACCTTCTCAGGCTGTTCCAAGCTTGCTTTCCAATACCCCAAAACATGGTCCCAATAGGGTCCATAGTAAGAGACTCCTCTGCAAAACATCTCAAACACTACTTCCAATGGTAGAAACCCAATTTCAGGCCTCACCTTCACAATGAAGTGCCAAAAAGAGACAAATGCATCTTTTGGGTCCCTGCAAATATACACAATTCTAGACCCTGAAGCTACGATTGATGTGGGCAAGGATGAGAATGGAATGTGTGTGGACAGAAGGGGGAATTCGGGGCTCCGATTACCCGGGTTTTGGACAATATCTACCTCCAACATTGGAACACAGTCATGAGGCATGGTGACAAGCAAAGGGTTTGAAGAAAAGTCATATCGGGTTCGTGTTAGAATTGCAAAAGCTAAGGCTTTGAGCCATGTGGTACCGGATTTTGGAGCACTGCAGAGGATGATATCAGTGGGTTGAGCTTTGAATTGCTTTTGAGCTAACTTGACTCCTTCTAAGTAAAAGTTGTGATACCAAAAGCCTTCATATTGGTAGAGATCAAAGTTTTCAGGGCTAAGTAAACCATTGAATTGAGGAGGTATGGTTGAGATAGCCATCCCTTTGGATGTTGGATGCTCAGCTTCTCCATTACAAATGGTTTCAGAGACCTCACAACTCTCAGAATTGGATGAGGATTCCATGAAGATATGGGTTTTTTTTTTTCCCTCTCTCTCTCTCTTGGTAATTCGAAGGAGGATATAAGATTAGTGGGTGGTGTGGTGCTGAAGTTTTTTCTTGTTTCTGAAACTTTGGTGAGATTTGATGTGTTTTTATAAAGGGATCAAAAGTATATTCATTTTGGTTTGTCTGGTTGTGTGGATAACGTGTTCCAATTATTATATATAGAAAAATTAATGAGACGAAAACAGTGATAGGTCCTTGAGACCTAACCTCCCAAATGTTCATTTTCAGTGGACCTCTTTTGCCTTGTAGTTAACTGGCACAATAATCCAAGGATTGAATGAGTTAATATGGCAACAGCTTGTGTGATTAAAAATCTTGAATTTGAAATTTATATTAACTTCTTCAAAATTTTTGACTAAAATTGAAGGGGTGAAGGATGGGTTTCTCGATATCCTCTCCAAATTAACTTGTAGGGTCAGGTCATAAATGAGTTTAGTCTTGGGTTCCAGTAAAAATAAATAAAAAATTGGCACAATAAAGGCTTACCACCGACAAATTATTCTATGTTGTAAGAGCACCATGTCACTATCGCCACTTGGTGCTCCAAGCTAATAATCCCATGCAATCTCATTCATTTTTCAAAGGATTCCCAAGTCATTAGCCTCTAATTTAACGGGAGGCCATTGTTAACGGACATTCAACAGAAGTTACCTTAGAGCATCAACAATGGATCCATTAGTGAATGTGTTAGTGTCACTGTAAAATATTTAGCTAGTAAAAGGCTCAAAATACTCTATAATGGAACTGTTAACATCGTTTTTAAACTTGTGCTACTTGGCTGACTGCAGTTAGCAGCGTCTGGATCCTTTAGAGTGAAACTGTAAAGTGATTAGGTGAAGTCAAATGATGGTGGCGCGACACCTGTCTTATTTAAAGAACCAAGGGTTGAGATCAATATCTCACCAAAACGAGAATTTTAAAAAAAAATTTCCTTTTTCATTTCAAACTTGAGAGGCAGAGTGTGTGTGTGTGTGCCCGCGTGTGTGTGTGTGTATGTGTGTGTGTGTGTGTGTGAGAGAGAGAGAGAGAGAGAGAGAGAGAGGACAAAGGGCTAAGTCACCACCACCCCGCGCCACCCTTGCTCCGCTGCCGCCGATGAGGAATGGTTGAGTTCGGATTTAAGTTGCATTTATTCTTTATATATATATATATATAATATACATCACTTAACACACACCTTAACATTCATTACACCATCCCTTACTCGCTAAAATTAAAAAAAATTCTTAACATACATATTTGGGTCCCACTGTTATCATTTTTTATTATATAACACACTATTTTTTAGCCATTCCATTGTGATGCTCTCATTAACTTCGTCTCGCAGAAGCTATTTGATTTTCTCTCTTCAATGATAATCGCACAAGTTCATAGCACAACCGAAGGCCTCACTTGGTAAAGGCCCCGGGGTTAAGACCCCAAGTCTCAAGTTCGAAACTCCTTGGGCCAATCTCCTAGGTGTACCCCAGCTGGTTAGGACAATAAGCCTCAGGTTGTTATTATCACAGCATTTGGTATGGGTATGATACTCCCCGCTGTGCGAGTCCTGACTTGGTTTGATACTCCCTCGCTGTGTGAGTCTTGACTCAAGCGAAACTTGTGTTGGGGAATCAGGGCAGGTTCTCCGGTTATAGTCTCTTGCTCTGAGTGGACAACAAGACACCTTGCTGATCTCTGTGAAGGGCAAGTTCTTATGTTATAGTCTCTTGCTCTGAATGGACAAAAGGACACCTTGGTGATCTCTATGAGGGGCAAGTTCTCAGGTTATAGTCTCTTTCTCTGAACGGACAACAAGACACCTTGGTGATCTCTGTAAGGGGTACTGCCTTGAACCTACAGGAGATTGGGAGGATTTTCCTGTAAAAAAAATAAAATAATAAAATAAATAAATAAATAAAAAAGTTCATAGCATGAGAAACATTTTACTTTCCTATGCTTTTTTATTTTTTGGTCTCCTCTCTATATTCATGTTCTATTCTCCTCTCCTCAATCCTTTCCTTACCAATATAAGCAACGACCAACACCATTATCTACCTTGCCAATTCGTTTTTTTTTTTTTTTAGTGGTAATCCAATTAGCATCCTTTTATCATGGAGGATTGATCGATGCAGGCAGACGAAGGAAGCTTTACTGGTTCATCAACGATGGCTGGCAAGAGATTGAAGATAAGAGAAGCTTAATGGTTTGTCAATGGTACCTGGCATGAGAGGTTGAAGAAAAAAGAAGCTTAATGGTTACTCAGTGGTGGCTATCGTTTTTTTTATAAATATATTTTTATATTTTTGTTGCTATTGGTGGTGGCTGATAGATGTTTTGGATTTGATTATTACAAGTTGTATATATGTATTACGCACATTGTTGTTGTAACATATTTTCCGCATTAAAAAAAACAACAATAATTTGCTTAAAACTACATTTGTGAGTTTGATTTACTAAGTTTTGTTTGCTGCAAAATTCAGGTTGCTTTGTTTTAACATGTTACAATTTTAAATATTGCTAGCATTTTCAAGGGTAAAAAAATAACACCAAAAAAAAAAAAAAACTAGTGATATGAAACAAATGTGTTAGATTTGGAAGGAAGACCAGTCAAGTCTTTCTTATGTTCTTCAAGTGCCTCCACCTGAATACTCATAGTTCTAAAAATCAGTCATTAGGTATCGTACCAGCCGAAATGTAATAGCTTGTCAAGACCCCAATTTGGATAAATCTTGGTGGTGTGCTAATTGATTTCATAGCCAAACCGGCCAGTTCCTATTATGTATTAGATTGTAATCGTTACAGTGAATGGCTACATCCCACAATTGCGAACTTCATTCTTGATACATACTGGCCCATTTTAACATCATCACAAATTAGTTCAATTATATATCACTATTGTTATATGTTTAATGTTAAAAGGTAAATTTTGAGAAGAAAATTAGTTTTTGCAATAGTTTAATTAAAAAGGATAAAATTAACTTTTAATTATGAACAAACAACTTGAACTTCACACATTCATCAATTTTCCAATTAAATTATTAAATTGATATTATCTATTGTTCTTAATGATCTTGCCACAGCGACCTTTCGACATTATAACTATTAATATATAAGTATATTCCGTGTAAATCTAGGAGTAATCGTAAATATAGGAGTCCTTTGCTTTATTGTAATACTCTCCTATATATAAGAGTCACTATACCTTGATTCAAATATACAATTGATAAATATTTCTTTCAACCATTTTAACATGGTATCAGAGCTCTAGATCCTAAAATTATAGCCTTCTTTCTTTTCCTTTTCTACTTAGTCCTGTACACAGTGGTACTACATCATTCATTCATTCACCCAAACACTGATCAAATTGTTTCGGCATTTTTTTTTTGCCCAAAATTTTTTCCCCTTATAATCAAACTAATCAAAATCTTCTCACAACTCCAACGGCACCAATCTCATCACCAGAATATTGCTCACACACCACTTTTGTGATCGGCGTGTCATCTTCTTCCGTTATCACTCTCATACGCTCTTCCATGCGTGCCCAGCCAAGCCATCTGCTCAGCTGGACATCCGTCAGCTGCTTTCTCTTAACCATTGACATCATCAATCTAACGTCAACCCTACACACTCGTTTGGCCCCGCCGCGCACGTGCTTGTGACGTTAGTATCACGCATGTTTTGGCCCAATCGCATGCTCGCACGTGTCCCACACGCTGAGGTCAGCCCTAAGCTGTGTGATGTCAGCCCTAAACCATTCAGCATCTAATTTTGCTCATCTTGTCCAATTTCAATCTATTTTTTTGGCAGTTCACCTTAGTTTCCAAATAATTTGGACTTTCTGAATCCATTGGTGCACTCCGTTTGTGCTGATTCTTCTCCTATAGCACTATTTTTCTCTATTTACTTCACCAAACCATTGTTATGGATCATCATGATGCTTCCCATTCAATCTTTGTTATCCTTAACGGATCCAACTACGTGTTATGGGCCCAAGCCATGTCCAGTTTTCTGAAAAGGAAGAAACTCTGGTGCATTATCACTAGAGATGTGGTTTAACCAGTGAAAGTATTTAACGAAATAGTTGCCACATATGAAGACCGTTTAGAGGACTGGAATAGTAAGAACTACCAGATCATTACTTGTCTTCAGAATACTTCTCTTACCTCTATTAGTTTACAGTTTGGTCATTTTCAACTTGACTATGTGACTACTCCTGCTAAAGACATTTGAGATTTTTTAAAAGAACGTTATCAGACTACTGGTCTTGCTCATCAACATCAACTTCAAAGTCAACTTCATCGCATGCGTCAAGAGCCTGGTCAGTTAGTTAATGATTTCCTCTCTCAGATATATTCTGTTTGGGACTAGCTTGCTCTCTCTAAACCTGATTGGCCTCATATTGAAGATGTTTCTTTATTTACTAAGTATCGTAATCAGTAATGATTGGTTTAGCTTCTCATAGCTTTTACTACCCAGTTTGAGCCAGTGCGTGCATCTCTACTTCATCGCATTCCACTGCCCACTCTTGAGTAGGCTATTTCTGAGCTATTATTTGAGGAGACTCGTCCTGGCACTCTAAAGACTCATCATATGGATATAGTTCTTGCTACTCCTCAATCACTAAGTTCCTCTTCACCAACCACCCAGCGACCCACTATTTGCAATCATTGTCAGAATTGGGGCCTTCCTTTTACTCATCCTCTGTTTCATTGCCCAGTCAGATCCTGTCGGTACAGCAACAAGATTAGTCTTGATCATCTACAACAAGTTTCTTTTGTATTCCAAATCGCTCATCTATGACGCGCTCCTCTCGTGGTGCTTCTTCACGAGGTCGTTCACAATGTCCCGGGAAGCAGTCTAGATCTCTGCCTGCTCATCACACTGCTACTGCTGCGTCTGAGGAGTTTTCTATGCCTTTAGATCTAGCCGCTCTTGTCTTTTCCCAAACTGATGTTGAAGCCATGCTCAAACAGTTTGTCACCACCCCTGGTACACCTCCTTCTACTACTTTGTCTGTGACTTCAGGTACATCTCCCTGGTATTTTGTCTCAACATGTTGCAATCATATGACTTCCAATTCTACT